ATTCGTCACGCGAGAGCCAGATAAGAGGAAGAGAAGGCTCGTGTATACGAAAGAGCGTAAAACAGTGAGAGAGAGAGAGAGAGAGAGAGAGAGAGAGAGAGAGAGAGAGAGAGGCAGGGACAGAAAATCGCGACGGAACGCGGAAAGTCGTAAAGACGAATCGTCGTGACGCGGCAGCCCATATTTCACCGCCAATTTGTTTCAAGTAGGGCTAAAATGAAACGAAACGGCCAGCCAAGAGACGCTTGTTCGTCTCGAACGGTGGAATTATGCAAATATCCCCGGAGATAATCGTGGAGACTCGCACGATCGTCTCCATGATTATTTCTATGTTCTAAAGATGCACCTGTTGACGTCACGGATTTTTACGTTTTCCATCGCCCTTGCTTCGGATATGACGACTATTAGCGCGGAAGATACGTTAGAAGAAAATGAGAAATTTTTCAATTTGTTGAAAATTGCTCGAACAACTGGTTCTATTCTAAATATAAATATCTTTTACGATCGATATAACGTAAAATACGAACGATCGACGTAAAATAACACCGATACATACGTCAACTGCAATTAACGATGAAAGTAAGGAATTCGAGTAATTTACGTTATATTTTTTTTTTTAATTTATTAACGGCAGTTGCCATTTCACGGAAATACGAACATTACTTATAAATATAGATTTCTTCAAAGACGTAGCGGTACAGATTAATCTAAAAGATTCTGTAGAGATAAGGAAATAGGCATCAATCGGTACCATTTATGATACGATAATTTATATTAGTTTTACGACCTAACGGTACTTTATACTACCGCTTAATTAAAATATGAAGCAAATATGTTTGGCATCTATTTAGGATTTATAAATACGACTTACGTATGCGTACGATAGAGAGCCTCCTTGTTTCCAACAGATCATTTTATTCGGAAAATGGTTTCGAAGGGGAAGGGATCAAATCGTCGATCAAAAACGTTGCGTGGAATATAGAGAAACGGAATAGATAGAGAGATACAAGATACTGCCGTTAACACATCGACGATCGTACGTTTCAGCGTAGATCTTGTTGCCAACCGCTGGCACTTTTCACTCAATCTATTATTGGATAATTATGATACACTTTTTGAGAAAATCGTTATCGAATCTTCGTCATATTATCTTAATTTATTTTGTACTCTTATGCGTCGTATGAATTTATTTATTTATTTATCGCTGTTAGACTTAAAAATTGTCGATCTATTCGGTGCATTTGTAAATCGTTTCATTTTGATAGAACGCTGTCAAATATAGGAATCATTTGTTTCACGCGTAAGCGTTGATTAAATGAAAACAAAAAGTTACGTAAACGTGATGATGGCCGATAACAGATAGCAGAGCGAAATCGGCCGTTTACGCGACAGTGGCCGTCAAAGTGTTAAAAGTATGACATTGTACGTATCGTGTAACTATAGACGATTGAATCGAAATCTACCACAAAATGTATGTATTTCGTACGGACACGATTGATGTGTGCAAGACACAAGGTTCGTATGAGATACGGAGGCGGTCATCGAGATTTAAATGGTTGTTCCAAGACTTGAAACATTTGTACTTTCCTCCATTAATTTTACGACTTGGCTATATCGTTGGACCATTTACTTGGACCACCTGCGTGTCCGACGTGGCATGCAACAGTTTCTTGGGATATGCAACAAATTCTTCAGACGCAGACTTCTTCGATATATTACAATGCGGCATCTAAACTAGAATATCTGCAGGAAATCGTTTCGAATGAGCGTTGAAACGCAGACATTTCGTTTTACGATCCTCACATAGTAATTACTAGGTTCGTTTAAAAAGTAGATTAAAATCGTTTGTCTCGAGATCTCGTGTTAAAAAAAGTCGAATTTGTAAGTTCCATAATTTCACGTATCACGTGTATCGTATTAACGCTTCACCGAGCACATTCAAAGCCAATTTTCTCCAAACATTTATTACGTTCGTTATGTTTTACGAGCATTGTTGTAATTTTCTCGTTAGCTTATCGTTATAGAAATGAATAGTCGTTACAGAGGAACGTGTTACACGACATTGCTCGATATTCGGGAAAGAAAATGTTGAAGACGCTGGCGTGATTACTGTCGTTTACAGGTCATCCTGACCGAAATTGGTTACGCGCGAATGGAGCCACGATCGGCGGTTATCTAATTGACACCTTTCGTGAGCAGCCGCGTCGCGACGCGACGTC